TTGCGGTTTCACTCATGCCTGAGGTAGGCCACTAAGCACAAAGGACCTTGCCTAAGGGTCCACCTGGATGTGCATGCCAAGATCGAACCCCGGTCACCTGTGCCGGAGTCGTCGGTGTTACCTACCGAGCTATCCAGTTTTATATATATATATATATATATATATATATATATATATATATATATAACTGGATAGCTCGGTAGGTAACACCGATATATATATATATATATATATACATACAATATGTGTGTGTGTGTGTAAAGAACATCTTCTTTCTATTTTAAAATCTAAAGTGTTTTGTGAAGTACAGAACAACAATCATTCAGTTTGGTATATAGACAATTTCCTGATTCACATGTTTTATAAAACACCTAAACTGACAGCTTGTTTGTTTTTTTTATTTCTGTTTATGGCTCAATGAGAGAAGTGGGCTTTAGGCTGACCTGCAGGGCTTTAAACCTGGGTTTACCTGGGTATGAATGGTGACAAAGCCATTTTCAAGCACATATCAAGGTGCTCATTCGTGAGCCTGGAAGATATTTATTTTTGATTATGGTCATTGGGGAGAATCTTTTTTCAGAGCAGTAGGTTGAGTCATTTTTGACCATGACATTTCACTTTTCTGTCACCAGTTCACAGCAGTTCTTCCAGCAGTCCACACTTTCTCTGCTCTTTTTTTCTCATTGTCTCCTCCTTCTTTCCCTTTGCCTGCTATCTTTAAAAGTGGCTCGCAGCCTGACTGACAGCTCATTGGCTAATTTGTATCACGTGTCGCCTGGTGCCGGACGCTCCAGAGGGTTTTACCATATTAACAGGAGAAGCGGCACAAGTGTAGTTAGACACCCTTGTCGGATAACATGCGATAATTTATGCGTTTTAATAGGTAAACTCAAAAAATGCCGATCTGACTCCGAACCAGCCCACATTATCTCCACCCCCGCAAAGCAATTTTAAAATGAAATCCGCCCAATCTGGAGACAATTTCGTTATGTTGTGACTCTAGCTACTTTCCTTTTAAAAGGGAGTTTTTTTCACTCCACTGTTGCATTCTGTTCAAATGTTTAAATATAAAGCAAGTATATTTGCTCTTTCATAGAAAATCACAAGGGCCATCAAGTTGGGCTTCATTTATTTCAACTGTATGAATTCATATATCATCTAGAAAACTTAAACAGCATATAATAGGATCAATATATTACAGAGAGATTCCAATAACATGAACCTCAGCTGTTCATCCTGAGAATGTACTAGTGACAATGGAAATGTACAATTTGTAAGTAAAGCTTTGATCAAGAATGATCTGCTGTGACCAGCTAGGTCTATAAAAACTATATATTTGAGTTTAAAATGGGGCAAGATGTGGACTTGTTTAAGGAGTGATGGCATGTTGATCAATGCTGGGAGAACGAAGCCAAGAAATTGTGGAATAGTGCCATGAGGAGGCATTGCTGCGTTAATTACCTTACTCCGTGTTTCTCAGAAATAGCGTGCCTATGGTTAAAAACATCGGGCTGCAGGTTAGACTGTCCCCATTTTCTCCCATACCTCTTTAATTATTTCTGTCCAGGACTATTTCTGTTCTGAGTAATAGGTCAAACAGCCCATAAAGGTGCCTTAAGTAAAAATGAGGAAAAAGAATGATCTTGGTCAGTGCTGAAATTTACATTGTAAAACTACCGGTAGGTTATTTTTATTTTTTTTTAACTGGTAAAACCGTGCTTGCAACAAGAAATTTTTTAAAATTTTAATCCTGTTCTACAGAGAGTAAAGAGAATATAAAAGTGTACTTAAATATGTGTGGAAAAGCTGCATGCCATCATTTTTTAATGCACAACAATACAACAAGTAATGGATTATGCTTCCTGTATGTCTGACACTAAATAGACCGACTGTCTTTTCCTATACCTCCACCCCATCCCCCAAAACTACTGGTTGTTATGGCTACCTGCTACGCCGCTCACACCAGCATGCAAATAACCCACACTGTTGCTTTCGTCGCACTGCATGTGGGAGAGCACGCTCAAGAGGCACACATCACTTTTAGTTTCGTCTTGGAGCGGGTCTGTCCACCATGTGACCGAGTGACACATCTCCTGCAACATGCGCGCGCCGAGAGCGTGACAGAGCCAAAATATCAAAGCCTGGCTTTGCATGCATGCTGCACGGCTGTAAACTGTGTAATATAAAGACGGTTTTACCTATAAATTAGGTGTAATGATTGAATATATGCCCGTAAACTGGAAGCCTGGCAGGATGCAGGCATGAACCCAGCATTCCAGCTATGCACAACAAAGATGCTTATCATACTTGAACCTGTGACAAAATTCCACCCAAACAAAATGCTTTTTTCACTGCCATATTTCCCGTTTAGCTCCTCTCAGTAGCTATCAAATCATGGTTAAACTGCTGCTTTTCCTCTCTGGGACACAAATAATCTAATTAATCTTTCACTTTAAAGCAGCGGCTAAAATTTGCTTTTAATTAATGAGAACAGCATCACCTAGAGACACTGAAGATGGCAATAAAAAGTAAACTAATTTCAAATGCACCTGTCAGATGTACACTATAGACATCTGTACAATGATGTATCACCAAAAAGAAAGCCCATCCCTCATTACGTTACCATTGTGCGTAAGAACAATATCAAGATGGAAAGACATCAGAAATTACCCTAAAGAATCATTTGTTGCAGTCCAGCAATATGAGATGCAGTATAAGACTATTATTCTGTTAAAGCTGAAGTCTGTAAGTTTTTAAAAATCACTTTTTTGTCATATTGGCTAAAACTGTCCCTATGCCCAGACAGCAGTACATGTGATATGTAACCTGTGAAAAAAACTGCTTCAATTGGTACCGCCTACTGCCTGTATTTCAATCTGGAAAGAATAATTCGGGACGAGTCAAAACAACCAATCACAGCCAGAGGAGCGTCTGATGGAGTGTCAATCACAGCTCACACACGCTGCTACCGCCAACCCCCCCCGACCCCCCCCACCCCCCAACCCCCCACCCCTTCTGGTCGCATGCGGTAGCCGCGCAGCTGCTGTGAGAGGGGTGGAGCTTGGAGGTGGGGCATGAGTGAAGCAGAGAGGATGGGGGAGTGGCGTGAAACCTGTTTTTCTTCAAATTTTCAGTCGAAGTCTGCTCTCTCCTCAATGTTACAGACTGCAGCTTTAATTGAGGTTATTCTTATAAGGCATATAAGACAGTGTCCAATCTTAACAGGAAGGGATATCCAGCCATTTGAACACAAAGATGCACATCAGTGAACTAAAATACTACTTCATGTTTGGAGAAAATCAAATGCAACTGATTGACATAACCACCTCCTACCAAACTGTGCGGTTTTGGTAGTGGAGGTGTGATTATATGGATGCCTTTCCATTGCAGAAACCAGTTTGAAAATCCACTTTACTTCTTTGCAGACATCACGAACCCACATCAGGTTCTTCTGCTAGAAAACAGTAAAAACCACTAGTCGGTTTCAAAACCTCAGTTTGAGGCGTGCATACAGTGATGTCTGCAAATCTTAATAACTAAGGAAATGTTTTAAAGGAAAGCAAAATAAATTTCAGCATGAAAATTTGAAAAAGTCAAAATAAAGACAGGTGTTTGAAGTGGCTGTTAAAATCGGATTTTACGAGTATGGGAATCACAATTTTTTTATCTTACAAACAATACCAGGTCTCCTTTTTTTTACTTTTAAATTCTTTAAATTCAAAGCATAACCAACCACTATCAGTCAAACATCATGAAAGAACAAGGAAAGTCTAATTAGGATGCACTTCCATAAGTACTTATATAATTATTTGATTTTAATAAAGCTGGCAGGACTTCCTTAGAAGGAGGAGGTTAAAGCAGCTGCATCAGGAGTGATGTATTAGTATTTCAGGCAGTTGTTTGACTATCTGATGGTCAAAACAGGAAATGGTTGTAGAGTATGCTGCTAAAAACGTGTTCCAAAGGGTGAAATATGGTGGCTGTATCATACTGTGGGGGTATTTTCTTCATCCGAGCCAAGGAAGCTAGGTAGAACTGAGGTAAGCAGAGGCGAGAGGGAAAAACTGAAGAACTTGAGAATAGAGCAGAGATTAGTCCTCCAGTAGGACACTATCTGAAACATTAAGCAAGGTTAATTGATCAGATGGGTTAGAAAAAAAACAATTTTTCATGATTAAGAATGGTTCAAAGTGCAGACCTTACAAAAAGAAAGACCCCCTTTCATCCAAACTGGCTCCGTTCATTCTCAAATAAAAAAAAAAACATGTGAAAAGCTGGAGATTCCATTGAACATTGTGGGCTTTGAGGCCTTTTACAAGGCACTGAATAAAGCTAACCTGGACAGAACCTAAGAAGACATCCACAAGGCCAGGAAGGCCAGCTCTGTGATTGGATGCCCTCTAGACTTAGTGCAGGCGGTGGGAAACAAAAGGTTCCTTACTAAATTAACATATCTGTTGGATAAAGTCTCCCACCCCATGCATGAAGCTGTTGCTGAACAGGAGAGCTCCTTCAGTGAGAGACTGCTGCACCCTAAATGCACCAAGGGGCGTAATAACAGATCCTTCCTCCCAGCAGCTGGAAGACTTTATAACAACACTGTTTCAAATAACCTCAATAAGTTGCTACATTCTTGCTTATTTTTGCACGGTTTCTGTCTTAGTCAGTTAAATAACATGCTGGCATTTTTTAGCACATTTCAGCTGTTACTCGTACTCGTACTCGTCGTCTCCCGCTTCTCCAGGTACAGAGTATTTATATTATAAAAACACTGTACAGTATAATGCTCTATTTAATTGTATCTGTTATTTGTATACACTTTTCTAAGGGGCACATTAAGTGACCACTTTTGCTAAAATCTTTAGCAGCTGTAACCACCACAATTTCCCCTTTGTGGGACAATGAAGGGATTTTTTTTATTCTAATCAACTGTATTCTACTTGTTTAACCAATGCTCACAAGAGCAGAGGAGAGGACACACAAAGTGCAGTTGTACTCACAAGTCAAATCTGAGATTCTGTCGCTCTTCAAAGAAGTAGTCCAGGATAAATTTCTTCACAAAGTCTGGGTTCAGCGTGTTGTCAATCACCTCTGTTCTCCCAAACTGGGAATAAAGCAGAAAGATAAGAGATTCCTTGTAAAACAGTCAGAGGAAAGCCCAAGGTTCAGACTTCTACTTGTCTCGCTGCGTTTCTTAAGTTGTGGGCGGTGAAAATTTTTCCAGCTACATTTAGAAAATCTATAAACTGCCATTTTAGCTCTGTGCAACACTTCAGAGCTTTCTCGGCTAAAAGACACTTAGCTTTTTTTAGGCACTCCATGAATTTGTGGTGACTCATATAAATATCTTATCACCTGCAGCCTGTTCTTTTTGGAGACATTTTCGTGGAGTCGCTGGTTACAGGAGATTATGTACAGCTTTAGAATGTAATGTAATAAATGCACGGCGGCTTAAGTATGCAGTCAATAAGGGTCAGGGAGGTCCCAGTTTGACATTTAACTCTGCCTGATGATAAAGCATGCAGATGATGGGCCACTAAGAAGCCTGAATAACTGGAAATGATTGGGGCAGCAGGAATTGCCCCCTCATTTACAAACATGAATATTGACAAAAAACATTGCTGACAGCAGTTCAGTCTAAATATGAGCAAAATCCAGATGTTGTTGAAAGTGTTTATTAAAAAAAGCCCGGATAAATTGGACATTTTAATTAGCCTCACTATACATAAAAAAAGGTATGCAAAAAATAATTTAAGTAAGAAATATTAAATCTCACTATTTATTCCTTTAAATCACTTTAGGTGACTTAAGAATATGTTTCCTAAAGTAAATAACTGCTTAAAGAAGCTTGTTTAATAGAATTTGCCCAACTAGACAGAGTAACAACGACACTTAAATAAATAAATATGTTGCACCTGAGTGACTTCTTTAAGGAAAAGCTAATTTTCTTTCAAGTAGAGTAGGAGGAGCAATTCCTGGAGAGCCAGGCATCTTTACAGAATAGCTTTTCACAATTTAAAAAAATCACTCAGACTTACTACATCAAGGGTAAACTGATTCGAAGGGAACCATTGCTTCCAATAGTGTTTTCTCTTAGCCCAGGAGTTCTCCTACTCAGAGGCAAATTCTCAATTCATAAGAACGCAAGTATGGAGTCTTGTTCTTGACAAGAACGCAGGGAGAACGCCAGCACTCAGCCTAAATATGGGTCGATTGGAAAAGAGGCGTAATTGTGACGCCACCACACGCTCGTCAATCACTTTTTCACAACAGTAATGTAGGTTTTTTATTCATTTATTTTTTCATAATAACTAAAGAATCCTTTATAATTAAAACCCCAATTTAAAAAAACACATTTTGTGTTTACATGCGTAATCTTTGCCTAATATTTAAAACTATTTTAATATTCTAAGTGTTAAAATCATGTAAAACAGGTAATAAATCAGGTAATCACTTTTTCATAAAAAAGGTTTACTCTCAATTTTTGCTCAAAACACAGCTTTAAAAGGACATTTTTCAAAAGTACACCAATATGAAGACGATGCAGTGAAATTGCTCTAAAGAGACTTTAAAACTAACTGACCTCTCTCCACTCCTTGTTGCCAATGCCTTGTGTGTAAAGAACACAAACTGTAAAGAAAACAGAAATATAATATTAATAACATTATTAAATGCTAAAAAGCAGATAATATTCAGTGGATTTCAACTAACAATATTTGCAAAGCTTAAATAATTTTTCCCATCCACTAGAAAGGTGGAGCTTTTTGATTTATATCACCACTCTTAAGTTATTTTTAACATCAGGTCACATACTCAGACTATCTCTACTACGACTTTTTGGTTCTTTTCCAAGTCAGACAGGTTCGAACTCCTCCTTCATTAATAAATACCAAACAGCTCCAATCCTACTCCACCATATAATCACAATCATCCAAGCAGGCTTCTTATCACTGTCACCATCTTAACCAAAATATAATGTCGATATAAGCATTAAAGCTGCTTTTGGATCTGTTTGGATCTGTACTAATTGTTTTTTAATAATAAATAATCAGCTGCTCACAATATTGGTTTTTCATACTGGTGTGACTTACAAAGCATAAACAAGAATCTACAAATGAGCTAAACTACTTTCTAAATTTGCAAGTTGTGCTTACTCCACAAGAAGAGAGCAACTTTTGTCTACATTCTGTTCTTGCAGAACTGGTTTAACATTTCTGGCAGCCTGTTCATGAACTTGATAGAGTAGAACTGTCAGAAAATGATTATATTCAAATGACTTCGGAGAAAAGACGTTAAGTTTTTCAGGAAATCTTCTTTTCCACTAAGCCACTATCATCCCAGCTGCTTCATTTCTCAGGAGTTTCTGTGAAGAGTGAAAAGTTCTCTATAAAAAGGAGTTTCTTTTCTTGACCAAAACACAAACAGCCACGTGTCTATAGTTCAAAGATGGAAACACCACCAACCAGAGAAAACCAGCTATTACCATTGTTGTGTTATCACTTCTCCCTATGAGGCCAAAACTACTGACGTAGCTTTTTGACTTTTAGTAAAAGTTGTTAAAACAAACAAAAAGTGATATTTAGGGAAGAACATAAAGAATTTAAGATGTAATTTTGAAATTGCAATTCGAATTATTTATTGAACTCTTTTAAATTTCTTTTTTTTTTTCAACAAAAAAAGTAATTTCCTCTTTGCTTTCTTTTTAGCACTGTCAAACAATAAGCAGAAAAGAAAAGGCAGCTTGGATGTTGTATTATCAATTTCTTTAATAACTTTAAAATAAAAATAATTTCAGTTTATATATGTATATTTTGAACTTAGCATTTTAAATTCAATCTGGTCACTTTTTGCCAGTACATCTTCTTGAGTACGAAATGTTAAACATTATTTTATGTATCATTTAAATTAAGTACCGGTAACAGAATCAGCCGACTTGGAGAAGAAAATGTAAACGTTTGGATGATCTATTAGCAATTATGGTCATAGTCAGATATGAAGCTATGAATTTAATGATAAGCAGTTCTGTTAAGGTATGTTAATATTCAAATTTGAAATTTTGCAATGAATTTCTGTCAATTTTGCCTGGTCACCCTTTGAAAAATAAATGTTTGAAAAATATTATTTCATAGAACACATTTACAAATGAACTCATCTTAGAGAAATAAAATGAAAATGCAGCTCAAAATATAAATTTGTAATGATTTGTAAGTCAGAAAATGCAGCTTTATTTTGCAGACACATTTTCTTTCATAGATCAAGGATCACGTAACTTACTTGGGTCTGATTTGGAGAAAGTATCCATGTCCAGCAGGTTTCTGTGGGGGAACAAAGAATGGAAAAATAACTGAAAAACATGCATCCTTGGGTTGCATTGAAACATCAAACTCCGTGTTCACTAAATCGTTATTTGTGAAAAAAAAAAAAAAAATGCAAAATAAGGGCACTTAAAGTTTTAATAATTCATTAAGTAAGGCTCAACATCAACACAATGCATAAAAATGTTTGTTCTTCTAGAAACAACACAGCTGCTGAGTGTCCATTACCATGACATAAAGCAGCAGAATTATAAATTTTAATTTTGTTAAAATGAGTTTAGGCTTTCGTTGATTTTAGGGAACAATTTTAAAAGGAAATCAACAGTATTTTACTACATTTATCCATGTTTTCCATCACTCAACGTAGAAAAAATTGTGAAAGGTCTATATGTATCTGGGGCCATACAAAAAGTAAATGAAGTTAAGAGGACATATTCCAGTCTGAAAAACAATATGCGACTGTAAGAGCTCAAAATAACTGTATATATTAAATAAAAGACAGATGCCCATAAGGGGGTCAACTTTCCAGCGGTTCAAGAGATTTTTAACATAACTTCAATTCATAATTGAAAAAGACTAAAGAGATCTGTCTAACAGATCGGGCTTTAGATGCAAAAATAACCTCATCCAACCTATACTGTAATGAAGCAGCAAAAGTGACATAGCTAATGTCTGCATGTCACACGTAAACGAGCCACTGATTTGTGCTGTGTGACCTGTTGCGTTTGTTCTGAGCCATTAATTATCTCTGTACATCTGCTTCTATCTGCATCCCGCTCCGAGCTGACCACTGCTGGCAGTGGTGATTAGTTTAGCGAGAGAAGTCTATATGTGGCACAGGTGCAGTAGAGCGTCCAATCATAAAGGAAAATGGCAGATCTCATGGTTCACCGGCTTTAAGCTTGTACCTCCTCCCACATCATCAAGCCAGCCAAAGCATAACCGCCAAACTTTCTATTAAATAAAGAAGTTGTTTTGCAGTACATGGAAATTCTTGATCTTACAGACAGTCAACCCAACATTTTTCACTGTGAAACAGAAACTTGTCACACTCTTGTTCTCTAAAAAATAGCTGTGTTTTTCCTTTTATATAGATCATCAAGCCAAGTTACTTTCATATGAAGGCAACCTATCTAATATAAAATAAGATATTCAATAGATGGCTATATTCATTAAGGAGAATGAGGATATCCAAACCAATCACTCTAAGCCTAATCAATGTTTCTGCCATCTTTTGCAAAAACAGCAGCTTTCATCAAGCCCTTTGAATGGTTAGTAATGAATAGAATAGTGAGCAATATATCACAGTGGGTTTGGTCCACAGTAAGGTTTCAAGTCATCCTCCCTGAAGTGTTTTGTTACCTCAATTTGGTTAAAGCCCATGCTTTGACTAAAATCTTCTTAAACCTTTATTTTTTAGCAATTGAGAAGAGAGCAACCGAAATGCTTTGTATCGCAATCCAGCAACATATCAAGCAAGTACACCTTAAGGTGGGCATGCACTAGGAATTTTTGCCCTTTTCAGGTCGATTCTCCAGTCATGCGAGAATTTTTTGGATTGGGTCAAGTTTTAGCCTCATTGTGCGTAGTGGGTCGCATAGTATACAGTGGGTAATGAGGGGAGATTAGCCTCTCGCGACAACCTCCCAATCAGGAATTATAAGGTCAAGAGAAATCAGTTGTGGGCAAATTCTGCTGTGAGGCAAAGCTACAAGCATCTACAAGCTGATTTACCACAACATGTACAAACAAAGGAATTCTTCTTCCAGATTGAGGAGTACGACAATCGCCATCTCTCAACACTGAGTCTGACGTGTGCTTTTTGGACATACAGTACAGTGTGAGCTTCAGATCCTATCAGAGCCTCGGGTCATACAGTGTAAGAACATACATCGTGCACTGTGAACTTTTAAACCCTAGAGTTTGAGCTGTAGCTGCGTGTAAAGATTGAAAATATCCTACAGTGCATGCCCGCCTTTAGGGACACACACTAATTTGCAGACAGTCAGAATCAGAATCTTAGTAGAGAGCATTACTCATAGATGCCTTACACCAGCAAATTTCCACCACCATGTTTGGTGTTTGTATGTTCTTTATCTAAAACACGTCTAATGTAATGGGAGAAACAGTTTGTCTTTTACTGGTACACCTTATTGCTTCCCATCTGAATGACTGTCCTCTTTGTTCTCACTGCCATCTATTTGGTTCAGTCAGCAACTTTTGTAAAGTCATTTCTCACAGGGAGACAAACATTTTTCCTATTTAAGAAAGGGTGCTTAAATCCATTTTAATGTGAAGGTTCATTTATACGTGCACAGCTTTAAAGAGCTATACTATGTTCATTATCAGGGCTTAAAGGAATGATTATTTCCTCAACAAGACTGTAGTTTAACACAGATCAGTCGCTTATGATGAACATTATTTGAATTCAAAGCACTTGCTCAGCCAATTATGTTTGGATTCAGCTATCAAAACAGAATCTTCATCAGATTTTTTTTTTCTATGTCAATGGTAAAGATAGAAAACTACCGGTAATAAAAACCAGATCTAAAGATTTATATGTGGGACTAAAGAAACCAGCAGCCCCTTTAAAACTAGAGGTTTAAACACACTCCTACAACCGGTGTCAAAATATAGAAGTTAGCAGGCTTTTTTCTTGAAGTTTTACAGTTTTATTCATCCGTAAAGATTATTATTTTTTGGTGCTGTTTTACATGCTCAACATGTAATCATTAGTAGAAATGTTATTGAAAAGAAAGAGAAAAAAACAGGCTGATGGTTTGGTTATTTCAAAGACTGAAGAACATTTTAGAGTCAGAAACATTCCAAATCTTAAGTTTGCTAATGCTTGATTTACACAGTATCCAATATTTAGTTTTTTTATGTTTAAAATACAGAAATGAAGCTCCTCCATTTACACTAGCATTAGATGCTTCCAACTGACAGGTAAATAATCTGGACGTTGGAGTGTCACCACCCATGTAATAAAGTGAGAGTATTTGTTTAGAGACTGGGACTAATGACCCTGTCAGAATTTCCATGTCTTCTTCTTTTAAGGGGTTATCTGACGTTTCAAAGTGTATGACTGCCCAAAGCACATCACACATGGTGGTACTCCAAATTGTCTCTTGGGCTTCCATTGCGCGTGTTTGTCGTGTGCATGCCTGTGTGCATATTTCTGTATGTGCCAGTGCAACACATTTTCAGGAGTTCCACTTCAGAGGATGATATATGAGTCACGCCGCTGTCTCTCTTCCTTCTCTCTCTCTTTTTCATCCAGGGGCAGGCAGCAGAGAGTGGGAAGCTGAAAGCTGCCGCCTGAGTCACTCAGAGGTCTAGAGGAATGCTGTCAGTGCGTTTCCTTTGGAAAGACACAATTATCTCAGTGTTATACTAGGGTTTGATTTATTCCACTCAACAAACCCTTAGAATATCTGCTGGTCAGCTTTTAATAATCAGACTATTTCAATAGACTTCTTCCTGTTTGAGATTGCATGTATCTCTAGAGCACTAGTGCTCTACAGGCTCTCATTCTTAGCAAATCTCCTACTTTTTTCTACCAAACCCATGGAAAATTAATCATCCACATTATCTCACATAAAACTATCAATTTCAACGTTTCCTATTCTAGTTCTTCTTTATTTTTTTATTTAATGATCAGTATCAGAGAAGTCTGGCTTACTTAAAGCCTTAAATACACTTTTTCTTTTGCTGATAAACTGTATACGTGATGACAATGTATGCAATTCTGTTGAAAATTGATTTTGGGTCTAAAATCCCCTTTCTGATGCCCACCTAAGTTTTAAAAGGGTTTACTGAATCTGGTTTTTGCCACTGGCTTAGCCTGGGGTGTGACGTCATTTAGGAGAACCGGCATAATCAACTGTATCCTGGGAAGCGTTGGTTTGCTAAAGGACTGACAATAAATAATTTTATCTGGTCTTAGGAAAATATATACTGACTTTCCTCACAATAAAGGTTAATTGAAAAAAACTATTTGTATTAAAATTGCATATAAACAAGACTGTATCATCTGTCTACTCTGGTTTTCTCTAGGTTTGAGTCAATCTCTTACCTGACCAACAACCTGTTAAAAAAAAAAAATCTTGTTAATGGGTCACAAAGTGTATGACCCATGAAATAAAATTTGAAATGTATTCATATTTGTTTATCAAGAGTGTTTGGTTTGGATATTTATTGAAGGTTCCCACTAGAGCCACCGTATCTCTGAGCCACCTCCAATATTGGGATTACTCTACTCTGCAAGTTTGTGTCGCTGTAAGTGCTAGTGTGCAACTGTCTACACTAAGCCAAGCACCTACTTTGGAGCAATTACTTAGACAACTTTTATTGTCATTTCGTTTTGTACAGCTTTTATGACGTTTCCATTGCTTTCAAGCACCTATGTAAATTCTCTGTTATTCGGATCATGTCAACCACAAATGTGCTTAAACTGGAAGGCAACCGGACTTCACTCAGTGTTTTGAAGCAGACCTATCCAGGTGTCTTTGTCAATTCTAATTGACACACCACAGCAAGCTTTAGTTGGAGAGCTGATGAATTTGAGCAGCATGGAGGTCCATCTTCCTGAACACATTCCAAGTCAGATGCAAATCAAACAGCCGACCATTGTTCTTTTGGATTGTTGGTGCCTTTTGTTGTGCATGGGCTATGTGATTGGTCTTTTGAATCATGCATCAGTTCTGATGCTTAAATACATCAGCACTCCAACTAGAGTTTACTGTGGTACAAGACAGCAGAATTGACTAAGACTCCTAGATAGGTACTAAAACATCTTTAAAAAAAAAAAAAAAAACTGAGCAAAATTCCGGTTGTGGTTTCCCTTTAATGCTTTTTAAAGCTTCATTTTGCCACAAATACAGCCTTATAGCTGTTTTTGGCAGTGTCATATAGAGACTGAAACGTTTGCCTATTCTAATTAATCAATTAACATAACTTTAGTTAGACTAGATGCAGAGCATATTTGAACATCCACTTCA